GGGGAGGGGGGGGGGCGATGCGCGGCGCTCCGCGGCGGCCGCCCCCGCCAGCACGGCCGCCATGGAGGAGCGCTCGCACCGGGCGCTGCTGGCGCTCGTGCTGCTGCTGCTCTTCGCCGTGATCGTGCTGCAGTACGTGTGCCCGGGCACCGAGTGCCGCCTGCTGCGGCTCCGCGCGCTCAGCCCCGCCGCCGCCGCCGCCGGCGCGGGGGGGGACCCGTACGGCGCCGAGGACGAGACGCCGCCGCGCTTCGTGCCGCGCTTCAACTTCTCGGCGCGCGACCTGCTGCGCCGCGTCGACTTCAACATCAAGGGCGACGACCTGATCGTGTTCCTGCACATCCAGAAAACGGGCGGCACCACCTTCGGCCGCCACCTCGTGCGCAACATCCAGCTGGAGCAGCCGTGCGAGTGCCGCGCCGGGCAGAAGAAGTGCACGTGCCTGCGGCCCGGCAAGCGCGAGACGTGGCTCTTCTCGCGCTTCTCCACGGGCTGGAGCTGCGGGCTCCACGCCGACTGGACCGAGCTCACCAACTGCGTGCCCGCGCTCGTGGACGGCAAGAGGGAGCTGCGCCCGCGGCCCTCCAGGTGAGGCTGCCGCGGGGGTCCCGGTCGGGAGTAACGGGGCGCCCCGCGTGGGGAGTAACGGGGCGTCCGCGCCCTTCGCGCTCCGTGTCCCGGCACGTCCTTGTCCCCCGGCCGGCTCTGTGCCCGGCAGCCCCCGGGGACTCCCTGTGTCCCCCCGCCCCAGGCTCTCCCACCCATCCCTGAAGCCTTCCCGGTGCCCCCTCGGGTCCTTCTCCCCGCTCCCCCCGGCTTTGTGCCCAGGTCCCCCGGGACCCCCCGGCGTCTTCACCAGGCCAGCAGCTCCCCCGGGAGCCTTTCCCGTCCCCGCTGCAGGATCCCCCAGCCCCCGGGCTCGCTCCGGTGCCCCCCGGCGCCGCAGCCCCGCGGGGAGCCCCGCGCGGCTCCCTCCCTGCCGCGCTCCGGGCGCTGCGGCACAGCCGCACATGGAGCCAGTCCCGGCGCCGGGAGAGCGGCAGGACGGGCAGAGAACCCCTCGCACCGCCCCGGTTCATTCCCGCCAGAGAGGCCGCTCCGGCCCCGGCCGACACCGGGCCGGTACCCGGTGCCGCGAGTGCCACTGGCCCCGGGCTGCCGAGCGAGGCACAACCGGCCGCCTCTGTGCCGCACACCGGGCATTTAGACACTATCCCACGGGCTGCCGCTTTACAGGGATGTCTGGGAGCTGCCCACGGAGGCAGGACCGGGGTGGCAGCCTCTGGTCGCCAGCAGCCCGGAGCCCCTCGCACGGTGATGCACAAACGGGCCACGTTGTTCGTGGAAACCGGGGCCCCAGCCTGCCCCAAACCTGCCCCGGGATTTTCCGTCTCTGGCAAATCCCTCTTTGTGCCGCCGTGCACCTCCTGCACACGCCGAAAATAAACAGTTTGGGAGCATTTGGGAGCCACAGCAGTTTGTTGTATGTGAAACACGGCTTGTGCAAATGTTAGTCTTACAGAGGTGACTCTTTCCGCTGTTACCTGCAAATATTTGCATTGTCCTTCAGCCCTAACCTTGTTTATTTGGAGTTTGCGCCCTGAATTTTGGGGGCACCGGCCGCTCTTTCCGTGCCTGCGGAAGCTGATGAGCCTGGACCGTTGTCGGTTGTTGTCTAAGTGCCCTTGAAAAGCGCAGCCGGTTCCTCCGGAGCGGCGAGGATCCGCAAGCCAAGAGCCCTGGGAGCRCTTTGGTTACAGCATCGCTCCGGCTGGAGCTCGGCCACGGCCGTGGTGCAGCCGGAGCGCGGAGCAGCTCGGGGATTTCACCCGCCTTCTGCGTTACTTGGAGAAATGAGAAACTCGGATTTGCTCCTATTGTGCCATTAGACTAACGGCAGGTCCCCTTCCGAGGAGGGCCTGTTGTGTTTCATGCTATCTGAAGCCGAGTCTGAGCGCGGATTCTCTTGAAATAGAATGCAGTTTCTTTCTAGAATTTCTTTTAGATAGTGTGACACTACACTGCCATCTAGTAGAAAAATGGTTAGTGTCATTATCTGCCTGCGCCCAAGATGAAGCRCTCGGTGACACTTGTCTATTGTCATTCTTGCTCTTTTGTTTTCCTTTGCTGCTTTAAAATTTAATTGCCTTATTTTTGTGATGCTGCAAATGTCAGGAACTAATTCCTTGCCCTCGGGGTCCATTAACATCTGGGTTTCAGGCTTCCGACCCCCCTGGGCTGTCTGTAGTTGTGGAGTTTATTTTACCTGTCCTATAAATGTGCCATTTGTCAGCAGAAACGGCAGCGCAGAACGAGCACAGCTTTGGTGAGAGCTCCTGCCCATCTTCCTTTCTCTTCCCCTGGAGATGGGCCCGGTTTGCAGAGCTGTAATTTGGGACWCGGATTCCTGTCCCTTCCCAAAGACAGGTCAGTCTGTGCTCAGGCTTCATCCTGCCCTCCGGGATAGAGGAGAGCCCTTGTCCTGGAGCAGCACCCAAGGAACAAGGCAACTGCAGGCCTGAAAATGAGTTTTTGCTTTATTTTTCCCCCTTCCTATTGGATTACTGAGCCTGCTTTTCTTCTGTGTCAGATGGAAGTGGTACCTGCACCTGCTCAGGAGCTCAAAGCTGTGGTTCCTCTTCCAGCAAAGCCAGGAACATCATCAGGAGTGACTTCCAAGAGGTCTCTAGGCCCCGGGACTGAGGTTGGAAGAGGGGCACGGAAGCGGAGCTGTGATGCTCTTGCATTGGCTAGAGGTCTATTCTCTAAAAGGCTCTGAAATGATGTTATATTTTTAATAACCTAATTACACAGCTTGCTTAAAAGCTACAGTTATTCTCCCAAATAATGCCTTGACAAGCAATTATTTGGACTGTGACTTCTGAATGTTTAAAAATACAGGAGGAGAAGAGAGTTTTGAAACGAACAATAGTCCCTTCAAGTCTTCCCACCCATTGTGATGTCTCGCATTTAATTTTATTTTGCGTTCTTGATTTAGCAGTGTTCAGCTGACAACTAGTTAATTAGCACTTATTCCTGGCGCCTGCCTGAGCACCTTTGGGGCAGATACAAGCTTTGTGAAGAGGGGCACGAGGTGCAGAGGGGCAAGAAGAGGTTTTGGGTCAGGTCGAGCTGCATCGGGGACATGAGGAGCGGGTTCGGTCGGGAGCAGATGGCCTGCGATGCTTCCCCAAGGGAATCTTGGCTCTGCGAAGTGGGAATAAATCTTGTGTTTATGGGATGGGCAGCCRCGTCTGCAGCGCTGCAGCTGGGCTCAGCACTGTTTGCTCCCATGTTTTAAGCGCTTGCGGCTTAAGGCCAAGCAGGGGATGGTCCTGCTGGTGCTGTGCCCTATTGGGGCTCCATCCTGTAGGTGGAGGGAAGGGAGCAGCACCAACACGGGGCACCTGGAAGTCTCTGGATAGGGAAGGGGGAAGGTGCAGGCGCCGCTGGTGCTGGATTTGCTCTGGATTTGCTGCTTGGGAATTGGGGGTGGAAGGGAGGAGGTTGGTGTCYGCCGCTTGGCACCAGCGGTGAGAAAGGAGAAATGTGCCTTTCTTAGCCGTGAGTGACTGATGGGCTCGCTTGATTGATTGTGGAAACCTCAAAGCTTTTGGCACCGCAAACCGAAGCAGCATCCAAAGTGACTGTGTGAGAGGGTCTGAGAACTGAGATTTCACTCGGCTCCAGCTAATTGTTATGGGAAGTATCCACCAAACTTGTCTATAGCAATAAATCCAATGGCACTGCTGCAAGAAACAAAAGGGCTTGGGGCTAGGCTGAAAAGTGTTAGGAGACATGGGAGCAAATACAGATACCTGGGAGCCTGAGATGCCTGTCATAGGGTGTGAGATGGGGCGGGTGGTCAGGCTGGGCCACGGTCCCTTGTGGACAATGTTATGGGAAAGACGGGTTGTCCTTTGAGAGGAGAACAAGTCTTCAGAGCTGCATCCGGAGCCAGGAGTTCTAAGACTGGAAGAAACTTTACACTGCTGGTGCAAACGTGTTGGACCAGGAACAGCTTAAGTAGTTCCTGGGTTCTTGGGAAGGTTGATGCATCTCTGAGTTTTCCTGTTTCCGTGTCCTGTTGTGCTTGGCACCTATTGTATGGCAGAAAATGGGGTAATGCTGCCAGACAGACAGAAATTATTCTGAAGGTCTTGACTGCAAGGGAGGAGAGAGGCTTTCACCGCAACAGAAAAACTGGCACCTTATTGAGGACCTTGGTTCCCCCTGGTGCTGTGTTACCCCAGGTGCACTTTGGGGAAGGGGTGAGTGCTGTAAATCACTGCCGTGTCTTCTGCTGCTTTACAAGGGGTTTCACAGAGCCCCGAGGCCTGGGGTTGATCATCAAGGACAGCCTCCTTGCAGCTTCATCAGGCAGCGGCCCCTTGGAAGTCTCTGGGTGCTGATGGTGCAGAAACTGCTCCCAGGGAGGCGGCTTCGAGCGCCGGAGCTCGCGGGGCGCCGGAACTCGCTCCCTAGATCCGCGTCCGCTGAGCTCTGCCAGCGGCTCCGCTCCGGCTGCCTTACGTGTGATTTAGTGGTTACCCCTTAGCTGCTGCCTTGGGGAGTGCAGGGCTGAAAACGAGCAAGAGGAAAGGGGGCCGGTGTGCACCCAGCCACGGGGTGGGCGCTCGGGGCATCCCGGGCCTGGAAAAAAAAATTCCTGGTGTCTCCATGCGGGAATGTACGTGGGGTCCCCCAGCACTAGCAAGGCTGACTTGTCCTCAGGAGGAGAGGTTTCCATCGAGCRGATATGGGCACCTGCACTGGCTCGGAGGGTGCCCGCCTGCCCTTGAGACGCTCCTGCCCGCCGCTGCCCCGGGAAGGCTCCTCCGACGGCCGCGGCACCGGGAACGAGCGGAGCGCCGCGGACCCAGCGCCGCCGCTCCGGCTATCAGCGGGATTCGCTAATGACCCTGCTCATTTCGGCTGGGTGGCTGCTGTGGCTGCAAGATAAGGCACCGATAGCGCAATGAATATTATACCAAGTGAGCCGCTAATGTGTTTGCGGCAGCAAGAATCGCCCTGTCTGGCTCCTGCTCAGATACCAGCCCGATGCTGTGGAGCTGGCATCTGTGGACCAGCCTGCCGTGGCAGGGTTTTGTTTTCAAAAGAACAAGTAGTTCCTTATTGTAATCCCATTACGGGGCCTGACCTTGAAGATTTTGATGATATCCTTCGGGTTTTTAAAGTTTGGACTGTGTGAGTTGTAAGGGGTTCTGCACAGGCATTGCTGGGTTTGCAAATAAAGCAGGGCACTTTGTCAGGGACGTCTTAATGGGATTAAAAATAATTTTCTGTCTTAGATATCTTCAGTTCTTCTCTACATCTTTAATATAGTACAARTCAACTTTTAATTATTTAAAAATATATATTTCCTACAACCTTTTATCGTAATTTCTGTGTACTTTTGTGCTCKGATAAAGCAGAGACACTAGGTATTGAAAAATAAATTCTAGCCTAGAGCAAGAAAGAAGGCACAGATGTAATTTCTTGTACTGTTTATCCTACTTATTATCCAGGTTGGTCCTCCCTAAAGAATAGGGTAGGAATAGGAGCCCCCATGGCGCAGTGCTGCTGCG